GCAGATTAGATTTCCTTGACCATTAGGGAAGTAAGGCGAATCACAAGAACTTGTTTTCAAGAACTAGATGCGAGAGATCAGTAACTATTTGTTTCCTAGGCTTGCGTGGTTAACTTTTGGATGTTGGATCTTTAATTCAAACTGAAGGTCACTGGTAATTGGGCTACGATACCTCAATGCCAGGTAAGCAGCTCGGCTTCTCAATGCTTCACTCAAATATATATATATATATATATATATATATATATATATATATATATATATATATATATATATCATTAAGCTTTTTGAAGGCGCTTGTGATATCCGTCATAATCTTCACTGTAAATGATTCAGTCGTCCACAACACTTGCCCCGGACTCACCTATTTCACCTCTTATAGCCCATTTATGCATGTGCAACGTTGAATCATACCTACTTTAAATATAGGACATGGTGGAGGCTCGTGAACGACACCTTTTTAATACCCATAAGACAAGGTTCAGAAGAGCCTTTTGAAAATCTAGACAGAGTGTTCCATTTGAGAACAATTACTGCACTCATACTCGTGCGAATTAATGAGTCCGATTTCTCACATAAAACATTACAATTGTCTGTTGGATAGGTTTACGAATGTGGGACTACGTGCATATGAGACTTCATATTCTAATATCTTTAACCAAATATGTTCAAAGGTGAAAACAGTAAGCAAAAGATTTCTGTGGACTGGAAAAGCTTGTAAAAGTCTGTGCTGTCATTGCTAGTGCCTTTTCCTCGTCATGAAAAATTGTCTGGACAGGTGGAAGTCTCGCAAAAGATTTATCATCCTCATAAAGAGATAACCATTTCAAAAGTTTTATTATGTCTGTCCATTCCTTTTGCGGTCAGCAGAAAAAATGGACTACATGTACCATAATTATGGCAAGCATTGATGACTCGCGTAAAACGTTCCAAAATAAAAGAAAGATTTAAGTTGACTTAGCTTAACACTACTGCATATGATTTATTCAAAGCATATTCAGCTTGCTGAATTAGTCATTTATTCTTATTCTACCCTGAGAACTCATCACTCCAATGTTTATTCCCTCACTTTTCACCCTGCAACCACTGCTAATGATCCTGATAACTACTCAGGACAGGTGACTAGGATGTGTTGAGTACTCTGACAAACAGTTTAACTGACCCGTTGCCACTCTTGTTACTCAACATTCAACTCAAACACAAACGGAATGTTGATGTTGGTTTTCAAATCTTAAAGTGGAGAAGATTGTTTGAAACCCTAGACTTTACCAAGCAGTAGGACCTGGTGGTTCAACACAGGCATACTCACCGGCCAGCCGAAACTTGCCATATTTCTTGACCTGAAGGCGGCATTCCACGCTGCCGAGATTGGGGTATTGTGACACTGCGTAAGAAGTATCAAGCAAGTATGTAACGCTAATCAAAGCTCTTTGCTTGAATTCAAAATCGTTTACGTGCCGATCAGTTGCAATCTAAAGTAACGACATAGCATAACAAACGTGTCAGACAAAGACATCAACAAAGCGTAGACTACTGAACGTCTTGAGCAGAAGTCTGAGTAAGTTTGACATACGTTTCGTACCTGTCAAATTTATGATGTTTTAGGACTGGTCTAAACAGACTTCTAGTTAGGAGGTAGACTGAAGTGGTAGGACGCATTGACCACTTCCTTCAGGGAGTAGTTGCATGACCTTAAGTGCAGTGGTTTTTTACGAAACTTCAATTCGGGTGGTTTGACACTTGTCAATGTACACCATATTAGTCGTCTGTGATCTCAGACAATCAATATCAATACGGCGCCAGGCATTACTGCGTAGGGATCCACGTTGCCATATATATCACAACAAGCGGGAACGCTCTGCGACGAAAGACGAAATGAGAAAACAGTCAAAAGTGGTAGAAAGTCACCAGAAGAAAGCAGGAAGTAATGAGAGAATACTGAATTCAGTATGGCGATCAAGAGAATATGTTGATACTGCGCTACTGATCGACTTTAAATCAAACCACCTGGAATCTCCATCCACTGTTTTCTGCTGTCACGCGGACCCCTATGAACAGGTCTGCATTTCCATGCATGGCTTAGATCATCAGTCAAAAACCTTTGTGGACTGCTTTCCTGCTGCTGTAGTCTTGCGACTTTAATCGACTTCTATACCAGGTTGTACTTTGGGTTTTTCTGACTACTTATGTCGGTAAACTTGTGGCATTTCTTTGTCTGGTCATCCGTAACTTTTTTTCAGGCTTACCTTAATTCATCCAAACAGATAATCCCGTATATAGTGGCTCTTGATACGTAACGTTATATTGCTGTGGGCTGCTCATTTTCCTAACCTCACCACCTGACTTGCCTCTACTGGATTCTCTGAGCTACTTTTCATCATCTGCCGTTCGGAATGCCCTTTTTCAATATTGTAACCGTTTGTAGATACGTGTACTAGACATCAGCCACACGTACTGTATTTGAGACGTGCTTCGACCCCATAAAATAATAATAAGCTGGTCACTTGGACTGGTGAGCAATACCCTGAACTTCTATGTGTAAACTAATATTTATTCTGTTGAGAGTGAGACTATATGTTAAGCAATTAAAGTGTGAATGCGATCTGGTCGAAGTGTTTTACCCTACGTTTCGACTGCATTTCATGAGATGATAACTGTGACTCGCCATCTGGATTCTCGTCTGACTGACAATCAGCGTTTTCGTTCCCGTATCTTGAATGAACCTAAAATATCTTGTTGACATGCACCTCCACTTTAAGTTGTTAAGAAAACTCCCGGGTCATGTTTAACCTGTTTCCACTGCTCATCGTGATCATATCCAGCTGAGTTTATTCTCAACTAAGCCAGTTGGGATAAGATTGCAAAGGTTCGTCGGTTTTTACACACAGTACTGGGACTATTTATTGTCTTGACGTTGTGCAGTCCAGTGAGCACTGTTCCGAGTTCCCAGTCGAATCGTAGCAATACTTCGACAGCGTTTTATTCAGAAACATGTTTGAAGCTATCATCGTTTCACGAATGACGGTTTTCAATCTTGAAACCCTGAGTCCATAGTTATCCATGGAGGTTTCAGACGTGGACGAGGGTGCATCGATCAGATTTTCACTCTCAAACAGGTTCTGGAACACAGATATACTGGCTGATGGCCGACACTTGTCATATTTGTTGACCTGAAGGCGGCATTTGATTCAGTCGACCGTGAGGCGTGGCAGTGTCTCACTGTGAAGGGAGTACCGAGCAAGTATATAACACTTATCAAGTCTCTGTACTGGAACTCATGCATCCGTGAAAGAGCTTGTGGAGCTGCCATCAGAATTGACGACGACTAGTGGTTTCTGCTAGGAATGCCTACTGTCACCGTTCCTATTTATCTTCACTACAGACGTCTAATAAACACAACCTTACGTACGTCTGACTTCACAGCGATTTACCTACTCTGTGGATGTCATCTGATTGGCATGGAGCATACAAACGATATTGTCCTACTAGGGGAATACTCTGAGGAAATGCAGAGTCTTGTGAACGTATTGAGCAGAAGTTTGAGTATGTTTGGTGTACGCTTCGCTGGCACCTGTCAAATGTAAGATGATGCTCCTGGACTGGTCTGCTGCAAGTACTTACAGTTTACTGATAGGAAGTGAAGTGGTGGAATGTGTTGATCACTTCACTTACTTGGAAAGTTGCATCAGCTGAAACCGGCTTCTTGCTGACGAAATTTTTGATTGAATACAAAAGCCCAACTTACATCATCTGTGTCACCGACTGGCGAGCTGACTATCAAGCATAAGACGAGTATGCTGCACTGTATTCCGTTCTATCCTGTTATAGGTTTGTGAGACATGGGCGTTAAAAGTAGGAGACAAGTTATAGGGTTTTGATCACAGCATTGCTCGATTTGGTGGAATCATCGTGTGAACAATGCTGAGGTCAAGAGAAGGGTACCAAAAAAGATAAGAAAGTCGATTGATGAGGTTGTAAAACTTCATCGGCTGAAATGGTTTAGAAATGTGTTGCCCATGCCGAGTCGCCGCCTACCTCGATATTGCTATGGTAGAGATAGGTAGATTATTTTGAAAGAGAGTTCAGTTCAGTGGTCAGACCAAAACGTGGGACCAGTCCACGAAGTCTCTTACCGTTGGTCTGAGTCGTGACTGGGGTGCTCGGGACGATAGGAATCGGTGATTGATGAATGTTGGTGAAATAGGTAAAATGTGTCACAATGTCTCAGATTTATTTAGTCTTTGATATCTTCTAAAGGTTGATTACTTGTACTAACCTTTATCTTCAGATTGTTTGTTCTCTCACATGTTTGTCTACTTTGATATCACTTATTCTATACACATTTTTTGTATACTACTATGAAGTGTGGCAACTTAGATCGACGGTCTTTGCTCCAGGTTTTACACTGATTGTCTATCTTTCCTTCTCTCCTGGATCCCTGAAGACTTGATTTCCAAACTCCTGTTACTCCTATAAGTTCTTCAGTTCAATGAACCACCCTACGGAAACAAGTAGACTTCAGGTTTTCAATCATCGTCGCTATGTAGCGTAGACCGTGTGTGGTAGTACCATCACGTAAATGGTGTAGAAGTTGGACGTAGTTTTCGGTAAGGAAGGAAAGTTCGTTGATGAGTTTGTGTCTAACTGGATTGGAGTTATTAATTAAGAATCGATTGGTGCATAATATGGTTATGAAAGTATGTGACGAAAAATGTTATTATTACCATAAATGACATCAGTGTTTGGCATTGCCGCACTCTATTTGAATTTATTAGTAACGTTGCTTTAACTTTTGTCATCCTATTACTTATAAAATCGGTCTTTTGCATGTAAATTAATTTCTATTTACTTGATGCTTCATGAGCATTTCCTTCAGTTTTCTACTCCTAGGTTCTCGGATTCTCAGAGAAAACGCCTAGTCTCAACAGTTCGCCTTAGCTACTACCTTCAGAGAAAGTTCTTCCTCAGGACAAAGGAAAAACCATCAATAACTGCTCAACATGCAGAACTTTTCCCATACAATTTGGATGGGAGATGTAGGCTTTGTCGAGCTTCTTTATGTTATTTTCCTATCCAGCTTGAGCCATATATGGATGAAATGTTTATTAAAAGAGCCTTTGAAACATCAGGTGAAAACGTAGTCAGTGTGAAAGTAATCAGAAATAAGGCAACTGGCCAAACACTTGGTTATGGTTTCATTGAATTTCCCAATTCCACAGCTGCGAGGGATGCGATGCTGAAATTAAACGGGAAGCTTATCCCTGGAGCACCAGTGAGTTGTTCTCAACTATAGATGCTTGTTTAACGTTGTCAAGCTAAATATCCTGTTCATGTCATCAAGTCCTCATTATTTAGGCTCAGCCTAGCTAGTTTCGATAAGTTACTTGGTTTTCTGGGTTTTTAATGTCTTCTCGAATACTCTATGGATTGCTCACATAAAGCAAGCTTTGGGGATAGATCGGTCCGAATATTGTAGCGATTCATTTTTCAATCAGTCTAGCATTGTGTGTTATTTTTTTTGAGGTATCTGACTCTATGTTATAAACCATACTACAGTAATGGCAAAATTAGTTAACCTTTACTTATTCGATTATTATAGTCTTATACGAGTAGTGTAGCTTACAATGAAAAGTAAGCAGCATAAATATCTACTCCTTAACCCCAAGAACTTAATTCATGAGAAAACTGTACAGGGAAAACCTTACAGCGTTAACAGTTTTCCGGACATTTCTGCTCTGAAAACGTCAGTGTGGCTGAATCTACATTGTTTGTAGTTTCTGTCCAAACAAATAACGTAAATCAATAGTATTCTCGAGATTTTTGGACGTACAAAAAATTAGCTTCATAGATTTTTGTTCTGCCTCTAACTGAAGGTCAGCGGAACTAAAAGCTAAACTTGATAAGAAGTTGCACTGATCCATAAGTCTGATTATTTATCTAAGCGCTATATGAAACTGCATGTCTCTTCGTTGAGTGTTGTATAACAACCGCAGCTGTTACTGGGAAAACTGTTCCCAGTGTAAACCGGTTATCGGTAGGTTGAATAGATTATTACTGATGCATAAGCTTATTCAATTCTAATACGTTAGGTTTTAGCAGTTAATGCAGTAACAGATGAAACGTTGTGAAGCGGTAAAGCGAATAATGATAAGAAGTAACATTTTTGATCGGAAAGAGGATGTATTGTGAACGACACGAAGAGACTTATTAATTATGAGCTCGCCTTGCTGGTTACATGAAACGCATAAGAATCTTATATAAATGTCACTATTGGTTTTTGTGAGTATCCGAAGAGTAACACCTTATTTTCCTAATGACATTGGGACAGTTGAAATGCGAAGAGAAAAATGGCACTGCTAAATGTTTTCCCCCACACTGGCTCATTTATGAAACTCTCTGTGCCTGAAAAACATTGCTTTTTTCGGAAAGTTTTGAAATGACGTATGTTGTGAGGGTATATTCATCATAACCTGAAAATTCACAGAAGAATGGTTGATTATGTTTCTTTTTCTTCCGAATGAACACTGATGAATCTCTTTGAATTTATTTTTATTTGTAGACTCGAAGATTCAAGTTGAATCATGCCAGTTATGGGAAAGATAGCACTTCTAGGTTTGATTTGTATTTTATTAACAAAATAATACATTCCAAACTTTTGTTTATAGCAATGAGTGTTCTTTATTTGTTGGCGAGTTAACAGAAGATGTTGATGATCTTGCCTTGTTCAATGCTTTTAAAAAGTATCCTACTTGTCGATCAGCTAAAGGTAACTTCACTACCTTATTCACGCATTTACTACATAATAGTTGTAATGACAAATGGGAAATCTCGTGGATATGGTTTCGTCCGTTTTTAACCGAATCTGATATGGATAAAGCACTAATTGAGATGCAAAATTATTGTGGTTTAGGGTATAAGCCTATTCGAGTGAGTCTTGCCATACCGAAGCGTTATAATGCAGATGGAAGTTTAGTTGTTACTACATCCGCATCTGAAATGACCTCAGTGGTTCCAAGTGGTAAGTCCTGTGTATATAGCTGCCTTTTTATGTTATCAGTAAATGTATCTTGAGTGTCCCTAAAATTTACCTGAATTTATCTCATATGTTCGTATCCATATCCGCTCACTTCGTCAAAACTTGCCTTTCAAACCTTGCAAGTTGTTAGCCGGATAGAAACATTAAAATCTACTATTAAACCGCCCAACCAAAAGACAACTAGGATTCAGTAAAATAGTTTGTATCTTAATTCCTTTACTCACTCCTCTTAATCTCCTCTAATAGTTCCTTAGCGTTTCCATAACTTAAATTGCATATTTGCGCTGATGGTTTTTGTTAGATAGGGTACTGAACAGCCTTCTTACTTTCCTATATAAGGGTACAAAGAAGTCTAACGAATATTGGTCAGAATAGGTACCATTTGCGTAGATGCATACACACTTTATTTTGGTGCTAATCTTAACGTTGCATTTCGGTAATAAAATACTCTGTTTTTTCCTATAAATATTTTTCTTAATATTTTGTTTTCTGCTTCGTCTCTGGGTGGACTATTATGCTGCGATTCCGGCTCTTGGAGTCTTCTTAATTGTAGCCATTCTTCCTGCATCTTTCAGTGCTGAGATACATTTTTGCATAATCTTAGGTATGGAAAATGTTAACTTATGAATAGTTCCTATGAATTATTTTATTTCTATCGACTGTTTGGTGACACTATGTGGAATTGTATTCCTTATTTATTTTGGACTTCATTGCTGACCACGTAAAAGTGATGAACACAGTTAAATTGTCGCAAACAATTACAATTTCCAGTTCTGCGGCAACATATTTCGCAAGTGCCCTCAAGATATTTTTCTCACTGTTGCAACCTTCATGCCTGAATGCTGAACACCCTAAGGGAAATGACTGCGTGGACGTTTGTTTTGTGTAACCGGACTGACGGTTCTTGAGAAAAGTTGTCCTTTCATTGACTCGGCTGCGATCAGCCGTTACTGTTACACTGTGTGATAAATCTAATAAGCCAATTGAAAATGGAACTGGTGCTGCACCCACTACAACGAGGCCATAGGAACTAGGCATCAGGTTTCAGATGTTTGGATGTTGGCTTTCACATATCCACTATGTTGACCCGATGACGTGGAAAAAACCAACCCTATATCTTGTATGTGTCATGGAAACAGCATTCATGCATACCCCATTTTATCATATCTCTTATCACTGAATCCTGTTCCTTTCCTCCTATGTGAAATTAACGGCAATTTCTAAGGAAACTGAAGTTATTATTTTGGTTTAATTTATTTGAAACGGTAGCAGGTTAAAAAGTTGAGGATACTTCGGGAGATTTGTTGGTGACAGAAAAAGATTTTGAAGGCAAGGGAGGGTAAACAGGGGGTAGGCTATAGTTTCCCATGTTTTTGTAAGTGTCCAGACGGTTGATGCTTTTCACCCACACACTATGACGAGGTACCTGACAGGAAGGAAAGATTAGTTCTGTTTTTTTTGGTATAGAAGGAGGAACGTCATCTTAAGGCCGATCATACAAGGCTTCAGAAAGTTAGAAATTTAGATCTGATTGTGTAGGATCCGGGCTATGAAATCCTATTTTATGGATACCTGGAGATTGGTAGGCAGAGGAGTGTGCTACTTATATGACTGTTTCTAACCCTTCTTTTCTATCAGTAAAGGCAATATCATTTTAATAAACAGACTAAAATAGAATTACAATCTACCACAGTGCTGAAGTTTTAATCCTATATCAAAGGAAATATTAGCTTGGAATGCTTGTCATCCCAGAAAAATACCTTATTACTGTCACATGACGTACAGCCATCAGTAGAAATCCTCCCTCGTACCCTCCATTGTAGCAGTAGCTATTTATAATGTGATTGTAGCTGCTCTGAGCCCTAACAGTACCCGACACCAATCAGATTGCTACGTCAAAGAAGTAATTGCCCGTCAGATATTCAATCATTGAGCATCATCCAATGCTCAGGGTTGTTCATTGGTTGGTTGTGTTGAATATATTCAGCATTGTACTTTTTCGCGTACAAAGTCCATTCACACAATTAAAAAACAGCTTTGTATATAAAATCGTTATCTATCATTTCCTACTACTTATCCATAACTCAGAATAAAATATTCAGCGTAAACCACTCAATACACAGATAAACTTTTTTGCAATTAGTTTATTTTCACATAGAATTCTAAATGGTTATTACTTTTAAACTCATGTTTTATCAAGAATGCAGAAAAATCCTGTTTTTGAAACTTATCACATTCATAAGCACGAAATCTTTTTTATGCAGTTGTGAGTGCAATCGAATTTCTACAAGGTTTTAGAAGAATTCCTGAAATTGCTAACGACCTTGAAGTTAATTGAATTAGAAAAGGTAACGAAAAAAATATTGAAAGCTCCAGGATAATGCATATTCACTGATAAGTTTAGCTTTTTCATGAAACTACCGATTTCCTGTATGTATAAGCACTACTTGGTGAGTTGCTCAATGTGGTCCATTTTTAGGAGTTTCAAATTCAGAGTTTACATATTGTAGCTAGTGTTATTTTCTCCACCTTTCAGGTATGCCTGACCCATTCACTGCTGCAGTCGCTGCCGCTGTGACGGGGAACTCAGCAGCTCAAGCTGAATATTATCAAGCTTACCAGCAATACTACCAACAATATTATGCCTCTCAGTATGCAGCTCAATTTTATTCTGGTGAAACATCCACTAGTGGTGATCTAGCGAATTCTGGGATAACGTCAATCTCAGGTGGTGGTACACTTGTTGGTGATGCTACAGTTCAACAACATGCATTTGTTGATGCTGCTGCTTCACATTTATACGCCAGAGCACTTCAACAAGGCACTGGTTCTCAGGAGTATGCTCCAGGTAATATGAAAGTATTAGACAAATTAGAAATTTCGTCATGATTCGTTCTTTGTGGATTTGGTTTCTCATTCGGCTAAACAGTTTCATAAAGTAGTTGCTAATTCGAAGTTGCTTCTCATCATGGATTGATGTCCGCTTATAGATAAATAAAATCCATGTGATACTGGGCTATTATTTTGTCCTAGCTCTAGTAGACATTTAAGCTTCACGCTAATCATATTAGTTCTGAGTCACTAGTCAAAATCCAGTGGTTAGTTAGCATATCCTATATACTCTACTGTTCAGCTATCACTGTCAATGTTTCAACTAATATCTATCTCCATTCCCAGTTCGGTCACAACATAAATTAAGGTTATTCAACAGAGGTGTTGGACAGATGCAAACAGGATAGAATTTGACGCTACTGAGTATTGACTCAAATTGTTATAGCTTGTATCATCACGTGGAATGGACAGTCAAAAAGACTAGGCTGAAGGGAATCAATAAGATCAGTTGAGACAGAAAGTGATAAGGGAAGCACAAAGGGAAAAAAATGGAGATACAATATTACAAGATTCTAAAAATTTAAAATAAAGATAGGGTTTAAATCTCCCTTCACCACTGAAATCGATTCTGAGCCATATCGCCTATAGTCTTCAACTTCTAATTTCGGTCTTACTGTAATCATCGAAAGTGTAGGCTACACTTGCTTCGGTGACTTAGACCAACAATCAAATGCATCGTAAATCAAATCATAATCAATATGATGCCTCCCCCTCTCTGATTCAGTTAGATTTAGATTGGGATGAGAAGTTCTGACTGGGCAGTCAGTGTGAATACGATCAGGCGGTAATAACGCGTCACGGCTTCACTCGGTAGTCCGGCAAAACCCTTGGTGATTGAAGTGAAATAGAATTCTGATCCTCGTAGCTCAGTTTGTAGAGCACCGAGCCAGTAACCCGGTGGTCGCTGGTTCGAATCCGGTCGCGGTCCAGAGTTTCATCTCACCTTCAATTATCACCCAGTACATCGTGAGTTGTTTCCGCATCTTAAGCTAAGCAACTGTAACTTTTGCCCTAACGCATTACACTCTAACTCAAAAGCTCACTAGGATAAAAGCTGAATTAGCATGTGTGATACAAATCTTATTTCAAACCACCTTCATCAGTTGCTGCTTAATCATTATTCAAATGGGTATCATTTATTACAGATATTTCCATTCTTCAAGTTACTGCATCAGATATAACTTTCATCATATAAGATGAAAGGTGTTATTGTAACTGCCTAGTGTTTTGGTTGTCTCATGTTCAGTGAGCTAAACTCTTTCCTCAACTATGAGAAATCATCAGTACAGATTGAAAAATTCATCGCTCGGCATAATGTTTGCTGGCTTATCATGAATTCTGAACGAATGTGGTGTATTTCTAAATTTAATCAAATTCTAAAGTATAGTAAACAATAGCAATAAATAAAAGTAGCTAAACATATTAAAACAGGTCATAAAGTGGATGTACAAACGCCATTTAAACCCATCCATAAAATTTGTTGGGGATGTATTTTAAAGTTTGTTGAGGCATTAGTGATTAGCCAACTTTATACGTTCATAAATACTTTCCCCTGTTGTTTTAACATACTTCATATGAGATAGTATCACTTATCTGAAAGGCTTAAGCCATTTGTGTGACTTGTTACAACTGCTAGTTGTGAAGTTTCACGATAGTGCGAGATAAATTTACATCACCCATTTCAAGACCCAGTTCACTTATTAACGTCTTGTAACGCTAATGTGAGAGTGAAAAAAAAGTTAATTGTTAGTCATATTCAACTCTCGTCTTATTAAGAATTAACCTTACACATTATGACGGCGTTCACTTTACTTATAATTGGCATATCGAGAAATTAAATGATAATTTATTTTAGTTGATATCAAAACAATTTCTGATGTGCTACATCAGCTTAAATGCCCAATCGTATACAATGAACTGGTTCTGAAGTAAAAGTCATTCAGTAGTATTATATTTTGTAGTCATCTATATTTGTAGCTCAAGTGGGATGATCCTAGTTGTGTTGCGTTCTCTGAGGTGGTTGGTTTGGTCGTGAAGCTTTCATTGTCTTTCTAGATAACATCATCAGCACTAACTTCAATGTGAGGTTAGTTACCGAAATTTCCCCGTAAGTGATTCAGTAGCTTACCCTGACGAAGTGGTTTCTGATTGCTAGTTTGCTTTGATTGTTATATCATTGACTGCATAGGTTTTCCTGTTGGCTGTTTATCTGTCTGACTTCCGAACTTGTTGTTTTTTATCATTTTTCTTATTGGTTGATAAACTGAGTCTAAGTCTTTACATGTATTGATTACTGATTTACTTGAATGCCAAGCTTCTAGGAATTCTCCAATATTCTTTATATTTCCTCTGTCTAAGATACCCACATTTCCAAAATTGAAAGCATGTGCATAGTTTTCTACATGTTATGTTTAATAACAATATGACGTTCATGCAAAGGAAAGTGAAGAGAATGATCACTTTGTCCACTGTAGTGCTACTCTCAGTTGCTACAGTCGGTCTTGCAAATGATATTCGGTTTGTCTTCTTTGACTGTTGCATCTTTTGGCCTGGATTATATGATTTGAAGGGAATTTGTTGGTTTATGAGCCACATCAATTCTAAATGGTCTCAGTAATCTTGTCGTGGTCTCTGATATGTTCATGATGATCCTTTTACTGATTTTCGTGGATGACTTTGTATTTGATGAACAAAATAGGCATCTTCTGGTGAAGTTTTGTGGGTAGCCACTCTTCTTTAGAACAAAATATTAAGGAATTTTCTTCGTTTCTACGTAAAGTTGTTGCATTGCTGTATGTTCTTACTCTTTTTAATAAAGTCTGTACGTAACTAATTTTGTGCATTGTTGGGTTGTTGCTACTGTAGTTAAGGATTTGATCACTGTGTCGATTTTCTACACACTTAAGTCTCCAATTTTCCGGCGTTTAGTTCTGCTAACTAGAACATCTGACAATAACAGTTTGTTGTTCGACTCCTTCTGCATTGTGAATATGATGTCATTAAAAATGTTGATAAAACTGTAAGTGTTTTCTGATTCATCTTTTTTCATGATTTCAAAAGTATGATCCACACAGCGGATCCAAATTTGCGGTTTGATCAATTAATCCAGATATCAGTGATCCCATTGTAGTTCCTCACATCTGTTTGTATATCTTCTTTTTAAATTAGAATTATGCTATCAGACAATGATCATTGATTTCCGTCAGAGTTAAACATTAAAGTTTTGTGTATCCTTAAAGCTTTGGGTCGTCAGTGATAATGAGAGACATAATACCCTTGGCTAGTTGTGATTAGATTGATGTGATGCTGTAAAATCGAAGGGGGCCATTACTTCTTTGTTGTCTATGTTGATGCCTGCAGTCCCTGGGAGTGGGACTGTTAGTCACAGAGAAATGTCTGGTTTGTGTAGTTTTGATCTGAGGAAAAGGAGAGGTTCAATCGATTTCACTCGCCATTTGTCTTGTTATTTCTCCGATTTCGACGAGCTTAAGATTTTAAATGATATGATTGTCAAATTTTTGGATAGAGTTAGTCTCAAGTGTTTGATGTACACTCTCATCTTTTAGTAAGTCCTCAGTCTTATAGATGTAGTCTTCCGTGTCCCTGACTGTAGTGGTGCGCCCTTTGCCCACTGGGAATACTGTGATGTCTTCTTTATTTTTCAGTCCTTTAAATGCTTTCTGTTCTTGAGTGTAATCTTTCTTCTGCCTATTCAGTGGTACGATTGCATTTCTATTTTTGTAACTTGAGTTGTGAAAGTTCTCATAACTGCTTTATATCTCAAGTTAAGTTTTATAAACAGATTTTTCACTAACCTAGGTGTCTCTTGAGAAGACAATAAAACTGATATCTAAACCGTTGCTGAAATCTCCACTTAGGAAGCTCAGGGTTGAAAAGCAAAAAAGATATGGTCTCCAGTTTCTTTCTGTCGTGATTCGCTTCTAGAAAAGTAGATAACTCATCAAATAGTGCATTCATGCAACTACTGTGTGGTTTCGAATTTCATTCGGAGAATGATATTTTACAGTACCTAACTCGTAATTGGCCTTAATTCTTCAGTTTACCAACTAACATTACTCAAGACATGAGATTGCTATAACGGGGATACTATACATTAGTGTAATATTATCTATTTTCATTCTCTCATCGGTCTTTGTTATCCATTGTATAAAAATATAATACTCCCAGTTCATCCAAACCTAAAAAACGGATATTTTAAAGCTTTGTCTTCACTTATTCTTAAACATTTTTTTGTCGTCTTTCTCTGGTACTGAGTTAACATAGGCTTGTGGTAGGATATCAGTTTTTGTACTATTACTTTTCTTTTGTGTAGGATTATGGTTTTGATGTGCCCCTTCAGCGAACTTTCAAGTCCATGACGGATTTTTATATCACACACTCATTTTTTAGTTCTTGTGCGAATCATTCCTTCTGTATAGGTTGGATTTTTTTTATATAATCTGTGTATATCGTGCAACCGTTTAAAAATATTCTCACTGGAGAATTTCGTATAGTATTCTTGTATCATTACGTAAGGGAATACTATTTGGTATATTGAAATCTAATACATGCGATGTGTAGGCTTACATGACTAGTTCATGCCGCGCTTATTTTATGAAGCTGAACAATACTGATCGTCAGATTATACTCAAATCAAGTCAGTATCTAAGCTAGAGACAATTGAGTCCAGACTACTGAACTGACTGACTACTGACCTAATAAACATGCACGATGTTCTCTGAACCCAAGTTTTTACATTATACTATTTCACATCTGCCTTCAATTTTTATTTACTTTATTTGTTCACTTTTCGTTCAGAGCCTCATGTCTTATCATCCGCTTATGATCGTCCGAGACATGTAGATGATCTTGATGAAATATTTAATTTCTTGGAAGCATCACGATGGCATGTAACTGATCCATCGCTGGGATTGTATATTAAAATAAACCTTGATAACCTCATAAAAGGCGATTCGTATTGTATACTGTTTTTATAGGTTTGAGCAAACTATGTTTTGTTTGATAAAATAATTACGATGTAAATAAATTTGGTATTTTTGTCTGTAATTTTGTACCTTGTTTTATACTAGTTGCAAAGTAATCTGGTATTTTGATCATATAAAGCAGGAATGACTTTGCTTCTTCTCAATGATAATGGGTCATTCTTTTATCAGACGCCGAGGCAGAAATGAACATTATCCTAGCCAGTACTAAGTAGTGGCTTCGACCATCCCCTACAACTTCTTGCCACTAATTACCCGTCTTTCAAGACCTGGAGTCAAATATTCCTTGCCTTTAAACTTAGACCTGGGAGCACTTTCCCTTGCATCATCACTAATGTCACTATCGGCAACAACGGCATGGATAACTTGCACCCCTCTTAGTTGCCGGTGGATGCTAGTAAATACAGATTGACTGAATTACCACTGCACTTTGGCTCCGGTGTCATCACTTACTCCACTATGACTAATCAACTTTATACTAGCCCTGAATTGCCTAATTTGTTTAATTTAGAAGTTTACAACCAGCATCTACTGTTCATTGTGGGGTTTTGAATGTTCTCTACCACATTATGAAAATGGACCTACAAGCTTTCAATAAGCCAAGACGATTTTCATATGAATAACTGTAATCTGTCAAGTTGAGTTTTGAAAATCTGCCTGAAGTGGGGGGATAGTTACAGTTCTTAAGAGTTCACAGTCCTAACCCTTGCATTTTTTGAGAAGAATAACATGAATGCATATACTTGAGGTTATTTTTGATAACTCAGTCGCCCAACTGACACCCTTAGGGTAAATGAGGAAATTGATCCTAAGGCTAGGTATCTGGGAGTAGGGAATCGTTTAGTTACACAGTAAAGACATTTCAATCAGAGTTCAGATAATAAAGCTTTTCCCCGCAGATTACAACCTGTTTACAGCTAGCAACAACTTCTTACATAGCTATAACTGTTGCTCTACCTGATGTATTCAGTCACTCCATCCTGGACTCAGACAGATCATATTACAACAAGCTACAGACCACTTTTATTCATGGGTGAAATGCTTGAACTTTAAATATGCGTTAGTAATAGCCAAGTGCATCTTGCATGTTTATGGTTATCAAAATTGTCACCCCAGAAAGCTCAACGCAAACATATTGATCATTATCGATACTCCAACGAAATACTAAATCTAATCCGATTCAAGTTTGGCTGTTAAAGTATTGTTAGTTATAGGCTGAACTTACAAGACGGGTAAAGTTGCATTAGGCTTTGGAAACATTCCATCTTCACTACCACTCTTCGTCTAATCTCCACATTGCTCACATGCTCACTAGACCTAACGTAAGCAATGTTGCGAAGAAAGCTGAAGTTAAAAAGCAGTAATTTCTTTATATCATCTATCTTCGATGGTCATGTCTCACAACCGTTTAACAGGTCAGAACGAACTGCACAACAGTTAACTCGTCCTTCAGCAGGTAATCACATATCCCAACGTCTCGACAGATGGGGAAATTTACCAATTACTAAGCAGGCCTTTTGTATCCGATATGAAAAATCTTAGCATTCAACTTGTATGACCTCATGCAATTTTCCACTTAAGTGAATTGATTGACGCGTTCTACCAATTCACTCCATATCCTTAAACCAGGAGTAGTTTCAGACCAGTTGTGGAGGGGAGCACCATCTTACATTCGATAGATGCGAAACGCATGTGTCGCACACTCAGATTTGAGGTCGAGGTGTTCTTATGACTTTGTGTTTTATCAGCATCCTCACCTAACAGGACAATGTCATCTGAGTACTGCAAGTCAAGCAGGCGCCCTCGAGGGAGTAGATCAATCAATCGCTATGAATTCAGAGACGTCTTATGTTATGCCCATTAGTACATGAGTGTCGAAATTAGACAGGAATGATGACCACGAGCATCCCTGCTGACGTAAATTGAGATGAATGTATAGAAGCCTTTAAATGGCTACATGAGTTCATGTAGAGTCTGTGTGTGTGTGTGTGTGTGTGTGTGTGTGTTGATTAGCGTTACATAATTGCTTGGTGCTCCGTTGATAGTGAGACACTGCACCTGTCGGTCGACTGAGTGAAATATGGCCTCCAAGTGAAGAAATATGGTGAGGTTTAGCCTCTGGTAAGTATGCGTGTACTGCAGAACCTGATGAAGTGTGGTGATGTGATCGACGCACCGTCGTTGAGGTCTTAGACATTCCTGATTTTCTTGAGTTTTCTGCTTTCCAGCCTCAGTTACGGGAAACTATGCACCTTGAGGATGTTGGATGCCATGTTAGCCTAACTGGTTGTCTTAAGAAGACTTCTCTCTTCTACTAATCTTGAAGGATCAGTGGAGTATATCAGTGTGATGAGATTACGTTTAATTGTTATATAGAAAGCCCGTACATATTACCTCGATTAGACTTTCATCATTCTTTGTTTTCTCGCTTCATACTTGTTTGGATCTAGATGATGCTAATATTTTTTAATCTGTTTCCTTTGGTTCAGTACCCTCTTTCTTTTTTATTTGGCTACCCTCTTTTATAGTTTCCTTGTACGGGTGTTTTCTGGGGAATGTTGTCTATGAAATCAACATTTTTCCGCAATATTTTAGTGTTTAATCTTGCTTATCTGGCATCAGTCTATTTTTTTAACCTTCATTTTTCTCTCCTCATCATCACCACCACCTGTCGTTCGAAGTTACTTTTGAATGTTGATTTTCGACCTCGGTTTCACCGACCATTACGCTTTCGTTCCTGGTTTAGTCGACGTATGTAGCTGCCGTGTATTGGGTTTTCTTATTTCCTTTTCATCTTTCTGGCTTTAAGAACCCATTACTGCCCACGGTTATTCAGAAGACTCAGCTTATTTTCGTTTTGATTTCTCCCCTGGTGGCGGTGAGATCCTGATGTAATGAGTTTTCTTGAACCACCATTTCTGATGACGTCAGAGAAGTTCATTGACTTTTGTTCACCCTTGTGTGTAATTCACCGGTTCCCTTTGCGGATGTTTTTTCCAACAGACTGAATATTAACCCTGGTTTTTTTAGTATGAGAATTGCTGCCGCATCCAGATGGCTGTAGCTAAAGCTATCTTCTCCTTAAATACGCGCTTATGTTTTTCGTCCTCCCATCCAGCCCGCACTTGCTACACTACCGCCTGTATTTTGCGACCAGAAAGGCTCAGATACACTTGCCTGGTATTAATGCATTGTATGATTCCAAACATGAATTCCAGAAAGTGCTACTGTCTTCCGCTAATCATCCCTAATGATGGCTTGTAGCAATGGTATCTATCTGTTCCTCTTATTGGTTTGATATCGGTTTGCGCAATTTGTCTCCCCTCCTGCTTGAAGTCAGTGCTAACTAGAAATGAGTGATTGTCAGAACACATTTGTGGGAAACAATTGTCGTCATCTGCACAGGATACTGTAGATACCTCAAAGATGTCTTTCTGATTAGCTCAGCTTCCCTACTTGAGCGTTAAAGCCGATTGCTGTTATGAATACAATGGGACGTTTTTTCTTCCTGTAGCCAAAGAGACAGCTTCTGTTTGAATTCATCGTTTGCATTATCGTAACTGCAGTTGGTGGGTGCATAGGTGGAGATTACGAATAGCCACTAGCTAGTCACGCGATCCTTCCTAGTTCTTACAGATCCGATCAGTCAGAAAGCACATAGATGGCTGTTAACTGGTGTCCAGATGAGGAATGCACAACTAAATGCCATGCCAGTACCTTTGAGTTCACCGGAGATAGCCACTGGGTCTCCGGATATGAACTTTGCAGATTCACTGGAATGGCCAGGTAGGGTCTGTTTCATAACGACGCTCGAGTTCTGTATACGTGTCTGAGAGACAGCATACATCCGTAGCTTGAGATTCCAGAGTTCTGGTCAGCGATACCTACTGTCCGATTTAGTATAGAGTTCGGAGGTTGAAAGCTCCAATGAGAAGCCAGCAACGGGGTTTTAAGAAACTATAAATTTTCTTTCACTGACTTGAATCGTTTGCTACTGGGAACGCGGAATCATTGAATGCTCCTCGGCTGCCTACACTGTAGGAGTTGTTCCTGCAAGGTATCTGAAAGATTTGTGTGCCGCAGAGTCAATATGTCATCTGCTTGGGGTCTGTAACACTCAATCTTTTGAGGGCTGTTGGTTTGCCATTTGTCTGTTCTAATCCTAGACAGGAAGAATCCATGCCGCTGGCGGCGAAAGATCATGAGGCTTGGAGGAGTGTGCTGTTTTTAGGGGCAACCCTTTCTAACTCCCCATCAGGAAGGCATCACCATGACACTACTCGTCATCCATGGTGAACCCACCATTGCTGTCACACCCCATCCCACCAGTTGTGCGACTTTACTCTCAGACTCCCATCAAAGTGCAGCAGTTTACACCACAACTGTAACTGATTTTAGTCTTGCTTTCATACAGCTGACCTTTCTGGTGTGGTATGATCTTGAAAGAACTGGTGTTCTAACCAGCATTAGGTCATGCTAGCCCAACCATCACGTTAAAGTTGCAGCTATCGGTTGACTGGAACATGCGTAATTCACTCCGAGTCAGCGTTTAGCGCGACTCATACTGTTAGCTGAGTAGGTTTCAAACTAGGCAAAGGTGAGAGGCGGCAGGACTAAAGCCTGGAATCATTACAAGAAGTATCTGACTGTTGGTTCGAGCCGTATGTTGAAAAGTGAAACTAGGTGGCTCAGACAGCTCCACTAACACACATTATCTTCATTTTAATTGTGACATCACACCATACTGTTTGAACTAGTCCGCCTTTTCAGACGACACATAGTCACCTTTTTCTTTATCTCTTACCTTGTGCGTCGTATCTTGATATGCTGACGTTAAGTGTAGCAGCTCAAACTATTAAGCAGTTGTACCGTGACCCATGTTTGCATTGACTGACTACCACGGTTGACAACGGCATAGAGACAAAAGGTGAATGGGAAATAACATTTGAGTTGAGGGACCTAAGAATATTTGTATCACATCGTGGTCCACCAAC